TACTTTACTCTGCCTACTTAATAAAATCACTTCTGTTTGCTACTTTTCATTCGCTCTTTCTTCTCTGAGCGTCGGACCTCCATGTAAATCTTTTGTTGGAGATCCAAGGACTGAGCTCCTGACTCTCGCAACGCAGACGCCTGACTGCCAGTAACACGAGTGGGAGCATAAATTGATAGGACCACTTTGGGAAACCATTCGGTCTCGCCTGTCAAGTTGAACATGCGCATATCTTACACTCTTGGACACACTTGCGAGAGGAACTTCCATATGTTGCACTAGAAGATGTGCACACAGCAGTTCAGAGAAACAAACGGGAAACAACCAAAGTGCCCATCATGGAAATGACATCGTGGAAAAAAATCTTAGTTATAATAATGTTGACGAGAGAAAAGCAAGTCCCAGAACACTACAGACAGGATACTTTTTGCATAAAGTTAAGAATCTGCTAAACCGAAATATAATTTTGGGCATATATAAATATATAATAAAGCTATATAAAAAAAGGGCAGCAGCTCAAGTGTCATTGACAGATGACTGGATAGACAAATATGACCAATTCATACAGTGGAATACTATTCAGCCATAAAAAGGAATAGAATTCTGACACACGCTGTGACACGGATGAACTTTGAAAACATTATGCTAAGTGAAATAAACCAGTCGTCAAATGACAAATATTATTCCACTTATATAAAATAATTCATAGACAGAAAGTAGGTAGAGGTTGCTGGGAGTTGGGGGAGCAAAACGGGGAGCTATTGCTTAATGAGTACAGAGTTTTCGCTTGGGGCGATTAAAGGGTTTTGGAAATTGTGATGATTGAATATTGCGAATGTAATTAATACCTTGAATTGTGCTTAAAAATGGTTAAAATGGCAGAATTTGTGTTATACGTAGTCTATCACAATTTGAAAAAGCAAGAGAATGGTCGATCCAAATGCAGACTATTGGTCTCTGTGGGGTGTGGGGGGTGGGCAGTCAGGATGCTACATGGAAGTTACTGGCGATGGTCCCTTGCCAGTGTTGGGTAGTGTCTTCACAGTTCTTAATGAGCTTATTTTTAAAATAAACCAAATGAAAGCAGACCTTGATGGGACTAATTTGAAGGATAGTGAGTAATCCGATTCTATGCATCTGAATTAAAAAAAAAAAAAACTAGAAAAGAAATATCCATGTTCCTATGAGCCAGGACACATTCTCATATAGAACATGAGAAGCTCCCTGGGACCCCCCATTTGCTTCCTCCACGCCATCGACAGGCTTTGTTTTCAGTTTTGCAAAATAGTATAGCAGAAATAAACCCCTACGAGTGCTGTCAACTGATCCTTGACGAAGGAGCAAAGGCAATTCAATAGAGAAAGGATAACCTTTTTAAAAAAATGGTACTAGAACGACTGAAAGTCCATATGCAAAAAACAAAAAAAGGTATCTAGACAGATCTTATATCCTTCACAAAAATGAACTCAAAACGGATCATAGACCTAAATGTAAAATACAAAATTATAAAGTCCTAAAAGATGATAACCTAGGGAGAAATCTAGGTGACCTTGGGTTTGGTGATGATTTCTTTGGCTACAACATCAAAGGTACAACCCATGGAAGATGCACACGCAAAGATTATAGCCGTGTTAGGAGACAGCAGCCTTGTCACTCTAGGATGACAAAGGATGAAGAGTCAAGGTTCCCCAGAAAAGAGAAGCTGGACAGAGTTTCCCGGTCCTAGTCTGGCCTCAGCGTCCCTGAAAGTTCCTTTGTTGGGAAGCCAGTGGGCATGGTCACGAGCAAGTACTGAGAAACGGGTCTCCAGTTGGACATCTGGCAGGACTGGAATGGGGACCAGAGACCTCACATCCAGTGGAAAAATAGAAGAATAGGCTCCTGACCTTTTTGCAGCAATAGGAGTGGGTCAGAGTAGAATCCTTCTGTGGGGTGACCTGGTGCCCTCAGTTGGTCCAAGCTTCGGGGCGTGGAGGGAGAGCAGCATGGTCACAATAGGACAAGTTCAGAAAAGAACCCAGACAGGCTTACCTTGGCATTTGGTCTTCAGTAACAAATACTACAATGGCTACAACGATCATCTTGGTGAAAGCCTTCACGCCTGTGTCTTGAGCATCCTGTTCTGTTCCAGCCCGGCCATCCACCATACCTGTGACCCTCCTGCCATGCTGGGATGTCCCTCCACCCTCATCCTCATTGCTGAGCTCAGATCAAAGTAGCTGCCTCTGGATCAACTGACTGTCTCTGTTTTCCTTCCTCCCTACAATTTCACATGGCTTTGTATTTGTTAGGGTTTTCTGATTGCAGGAAGAAACTGACTCTAACTTAGGCAAAAAAAAAAAAAAAAAAAAGGGATTTATCAGGCATGATGCTGGGTAGGTCACCCAGCATGGAATGCCTGATCAAGCAGGTCTTGGGATGCACAGGCGTGACCTGTTTTGAGTGGAGCCCAGAGCAAGAAAGAGCCCTGCAGAAGGTCTGGGCTGCAGTGCAAACTGCTTGGCCAATAGAGCCATGAGATGCAACCAACCTAAAGGTGCACAAGAGAGATCTGTCCATGGTAGATTATGATGCAGTGCATGGGCTGTGGCATCCTAAGAGAAGGATCCCAGCATGGACCCATAAAGGTTGGGAGTAAGGCCATTGGCAGAGCTACTCACCACTCAGAAAGCAGCTGCTAGCAATGCCACTGGGCTGTGGTGCAGACAAGCGCCTATGGGACTGGAGCTGCCTCTCTTGAGCAGAGTGCTGGCGACCCCGCCAAGTCACGTGGCAAGGCAGGCAAAGCAGCAATGTGATGGAGACGGCACTTTTGGAACCAGGCCCAACTGAGGCAAGAGGGTCAAGTCAGGTACATGAACAGGTCCAGACCCCAGGGCCCCTGCCTCCATCACACTGGTACTCACCCTCAGCTCACGCCTGTGGACTCATGGCTAGAGTTTCCCTATAACTGACTATTAAGGGGAAAACATTCAGACCTGGATCATAGATGGTCATCTAAATATGCTGGTAAAAACGGACTGCTGCCTCACTACGGATCCACTTAGAGGTCATGCGAAGGAGGTGAAAATTGGAGTGATGCAGCTACAAGCCAGGGAACACCAGACATTGCTGGGAGCCCCCAAGAACTTAGGACCAGACGAAAGAGGACTCTCCCTTAGGGCCCTCAAAGGGAGCACGGCCCTGCTGACACCTTCATTTTGGACTTGGAGCCACCAGAAAGGTGAAAGAATACATTTCTGTTGTTTTAAGCCACCGGGTTTGTGGTCCTTTGCGGTACAGTGGTCCCCTCTTCAGGTCTGGGGCAGCCAGTTCTGAGATGCACTCTATCCAGCTCCTGGCAGGTCAAGCCCCAGCAGCCGAGTTCCCACCAACTCGAGTATGCATCCTGGCTTTCATCCCGAGACCACTTTCCAACACAGACAGTCTGCGCACCAGCCCTTGTCTCAAGGTCTGCTTTTTGGGACACACACATCTCTTTTCTAAACCAAATGTCAGGGAGGAAAGAAGGGCTTTGGAGGGGACTTCCCGCACGGCTGCCGTCTAATTAAACAGCTCGGTTTGGTTAATGATTTCGTCACTTGCCAAACTGTGCTAAGGTGTGCGGCCAGGGGGCCTGGGCTCAGCAGCTCTCCTCGGCACCCATGGGAAGCCCGCCCTCAATCCGATGAGCCTTCCAGGCAAAGGCCTTCTCTCTCTCTCTAGGCTTGTCCAAGAAGAGAAGACAGGTTGTGAGAGAGAAGAGATGGAGGGAACGTTTAAGCGCTGGGGATGGGAGACACAGGCAGGTAGGCAGCCGCGGGTCGGTCCTCTGCTAGCGCGAAGACCCCAGGGCATCCCACGCCTCTTGGCCGACTCTCCCCACGATTCACTCCACCTCATGTATTTTTTTCCCCCTTAAAAAAAATTAACAAAGGTGTTCATTTCAACGACAGCAAAGGAACGACTGAGTTGAAGGAGAGAAGCCTTCATTAAAGGGAAGACGGAGGGACGGATAGGGGCATTTGGGCTGCGGCGTGGAGGACCTGGCTAAGGGGCTGATATCGCACGCCCATCCGGAGGCCCTGAGCTCTCTGGGGGAACCCAGAAGGCGCTCCTCCAAACTGGACCCCTGTCTCCGGGTCAGGCGGCACGAGCTGTGCTGGGCAATCCGGGGCTCGACGCCAGAGACCCCCCAAACCCCCTTCCGGGCTCCGCCCCCGGTTTCCCGCGCCGCCCGCAGCCT